AGGACAAAATCATTTCCTCAAAGTTGCGAGGACAAAAATGTCCTCAAAATATTGAGGGCAAAAATGTCCGCGTTGATAAGGTCACATGATCACTGCTTAATATTGGCCAATAAAAACCGTGGTTTCCATAGAGGATATAACCTATGCATTTGAGACACGATGGATAAGGTTATATCCTTTGCCGATCAGGCTAATGGGGTGCGAAAATTTATTTTTAATTTTTACAATAATTCACGCGATTTTTAGATATGATAATGCATAGTGTTTTGAAATGATTTTTTAATTCTTGTAAATAAACAGCTTGTATCCTGTCAAAAAATTTTTTTATGCAGAAACAAAAACCAATATGATATAATATCTAAAATTAATAACCGCATGACGAATTTCAATATTCTTTATTCTTTCTTTTTTTTTTTGTTCTTAGTTAAAAAAAATTAAAGTTTAAAAAGAGAATAAGGGGAGAGGGGAATATTGGATCGATTTTATGGTAAAAATAAACCGATTTTGTTTATGGATTAAACCACGAGATTTTTTTTATGATACCATTAGTATCATTTTTAGTATCATAATAACGCATCGCAGATTATTATTATTATTTTAAATTATTATTTTTTATTTTATTTTATTTTTTTTTAAAAAAAAAGAAAAAGAAAGAAAAAAGAAGGAAGGAAGAAAGAAATGGTAACCATGAAAGTAAACACAATTTTAAGCTTGATATATAAAAGAAAAAAGTAATATCCTGCGCACACTTCCGTAGTGCAACCAACTAAATTACAATATTAAGGTATCCGGACTTTTCGCTAAAGTTCATTTCACTGAAATGGTGAAACCAATTTCGCTAAAGCCATTTCTCTGAAGGGATATTCACCGAAGGGGTATTTCGCCAAAAGGACGTTCCGCTGAAATACCATTTCACCGAAACCCATTTTACTGAATTTCATTCAACCGAAGCTATTTATCAAATGGACATTTCGCCGAATTGACATGTCGCTTTATTTTTTATCGTTTTTATACTAAATGCATAAAGAAATCTTTTCTATTTTTATTAAGTTTATCTCGTTGTTTATAATACATTAATCTTTTTTTTTTTACTTACTTTTTCACGAACAAATGTTTTCAGGAAATAAAGTTATTTATTTATTGCTTAACAATTCATTACGTGATGAATATTTTAGTGAAAAATCCATTTGACAAAATGGAATTCGGTGAAATGGGCCATCCCTAAAACATTACATAATAAATGTCATGGCCCTAAACCCGTAAACCGTACAACATACTTGTTTTAATTCCTTCGTGTTGTAAAATCCCATCAATATTATCAATATCATCAATACTATTAAAATAAAGAAACAATATCAAATGAGCTTAATGTTGTTATGAATCGCGTGTTAATTTTTCACAAATAGCGTCATCATTAATAATAATTTAAATTGGGTAAATAAGATAGACAAGATTTTTTTGATTTTTTTTTCTCGGGGAAAAAAGAACCTCACTCTATTCTTTATAAGATGTAATTAGCAAACATACAAATGTTTCGCGTATTATATTAATTCATAAAAAAAAACCTATCCTATTCGTCCTTATTTTCTATTTGTCCATATTTTAACTGCTTTTTTTGTTTATATCTCAAGCGTATAAAAAGTTAACGAAACAACATTACGAAATAAATGTACGTGTGATAATGTTATGGGGCATACCCGTGCTCTGGAACCAATAAGTTTATAATTGTCAATTCTGGGCGGCCTAAGCATTTTCATTAAATTAAATAACAAAAAAAAAAATAAAAACATAAAATTTATGGATGAATTATAAAAATAATTCTTGGGTCCAAATTTTAATATGCGTTTATTAATTATTCTTAAACTAACATTTTTTTTTTCAACTCTTCAAACGAAACATCTTTAAAATCCAATCATTTCAAGATCTTCTCAATATGGTAAAAAAAAAAAGATTTATCTATATTTTTGTCTCATTCAATAAACAAGAATCAAACAAGATAATGTTTATTTAAACACAAAAGAACATCCTAGAATAATTTTAAGTATTTCACTCTTTTGTACTTTTTCAACTTAGGAAAAGTTCCTACTTTGTACCTATAAATAAACCAATCATAATTTAAACTTATTTAGATTTTAAATTTAATTTTACGCGTATGTATTATAGTATTACAGTGTACAAATCTAGTTAATTTTCACAAGTAAAAATTCACCTCGTCGATAAAATATTTATTTAGGTTTAGTTAAAATCTTGAAAATTAATCATAGTATCATCCAAAATCGGATCATTTGCTTTTTCTTTTGTAGGAGAGTAGTCTGTGAACAAATGGGGAAAAGACAAAAAAGGTAAATCTATATCCAGCCCATGTGTTATGCTTAAATCTCGCTTTTATCCCAAAAAGGATATTTTATGCCGATCATTAATTCTGGCCAGAATTAAATATGGCACGTGATTTAACGGAAAAACCAATAAGTCAAAAATGACACCCGCTCGGGAGTGCACAAATTTTTTCATGATGCGTGGACATACAAAAAATTTAAAAAATCGGTACTTTTTTTTTACCTGTTTTACAGCTATTTGCGAAAATAATGGACCACCTAATTCATTTTTCGACTGCGTATGAAATTTTCATACGCCGTCATACCTCCGTCATACGCATGTTAATATCTGCCCGGACCGTCAAACTCATTTTTTGAATTTTTCACATGCAGTCATCCGCAGTTATATCACAATAATTCTAGCAGTTTACTATGCATGTATGACTACGTATGGCTGCGTATGAAAATTTCATACGCAGTAGAAAATCGAATTAAGTGGTCCGTTATTTTTGCAAATAGCTGTAAAAATTAGAAAAGATAAAAGAAATTGTTTCTCATTCGTGCTATACTCAAATAATGTAATCAAATAAATAAATGCATTTTATTATACAAATAAATTATCCGAGAGAATTTTTAATGATCATATCCTGAAATGAATGCATCTGATCGAATTTTGACGGAAAAAGGGTTGAGATATAATTCACTTAATTTTTGACTGAAAAAAACTAATCAATTAATTAATGCATTCTATTATAAGAATAAAATTGCAAAATAAAACAAGATTTATTAAGAACTTTACCTGTGTAATCTCCATTTTTCGCAAGTCGCAAAAGTCGCAACTTAAAAAATATGTAATTATTCTATTATAATATGGTATAATTTTCTTTATTTTTATATCATTAATGATAAGCGAACAAGTAGTATCATAATAAGTTAAAACTTTTTTAACCTAATATAAAATTATAAAATATATTTTTATTGTAAAGTACCATAGTTCAAGAAACAAACTGTTTTACAAACTTCATAAAGGCCCAAGAAGCTGTAATGTCTAAAAGATGAAGCATTAGGACATTTCTAAAGCTAAAAATTCCAAAAACATACCACCGTTTTCCTATAAAATCCAAGTCTAAAAAATGTCGGACAAATAATTCAATTTTTAAAAGAAATTGTGGTTTATCATGATTTAAAATAATGATCAAAGATTTTTCACTACTTTCATGATCATTATTTCAATTATTTCTATTATGGTACAGTATCAGCTAATTATTTAATAGTTTAATAGATTTTACTATTTTATTACTTTTTTAATTATTTCTTTTTATAATTTTATTAGCTCAAATTTTGCTCCTTCTTAAGGGTAGAGTATCTTCCCTAGTTAAATTTTACTATAGCAAATGTCCACCGGGGTTTGTGTCATGTGCCAGGTTAAATACGCGACGAAGACATTAAGACGGAGAAAAAACAAAGTAATAAATAAATCTAATATTATTTAAAATAACATATCTGATATGTTTAAAGAGTCTTTAAAATGATTTATTTATTCTTACGCTTTAAACTTGTTCAAAGTATACAAAATAAAAAGCTAATTCAAAAATAATAATAATAATAATAATAAAAAATAGTGTATATTTATATTTACATAATGTATACTAAACCAATAAAATGGAAACCAATAATATTCTTTATTTCACATTCGCCAGAAACAAATAGACATTCGCGAAAGTTTTAAATCTTTATCCTTTTATGTTAGGTATTACGAAAGTTCATATTGCACCAAAAATTGGTATTACGGAGTATTTTTTTGGACATTTTGCTATATGGCGATCACTTAAGGGAAATATTACTATTATTTATTTATCAATGTAAATTTTCATAAAAAACTACACAATATTAATAAAATTTTACTTTATTTTATTAATAAAAATTAACTTTTCTTCATTAACATTTTAAATGGATCGACTGTTAATATAAGTTGTTCAGGAGTATCAGTTGAATATATTTTTTCATTTTGGTGATGCATTACTTTTGATCTCCCAGAATAATAAGTATTACTTTGAACTGAATGAAATATGTGACTAATATTGTATACAACATATAGAGTAATTATGTATAATTCACAAAAAATATAAATATAAAAATATTACATTAAACCTTTCCAATGAAGTCCACCATCAAAAGTGTCTTTAACTTGTTTCGTCATCAAAACAATTCATGTGCAAATTCAGTTTTAGCTGCGTTTGTAAAACCAATCATATGATTTTTACTTTCTTGAGGTCGGGTAAGTCATGTTTTCTTGAAGTTAAACCTATGGCTATATTATCTTGTTCTATTCTTGACTTAAACTCTTTACAGGTTTCAATTCTCATAATATGTTCTTCATATCTTTTACCCAAAGGAACATTTGTTTTCACGTCTTGAGAAGGAAAAAAAAATACAAAATTATTCAAATAATTTATCAACAAAATATATGAACTAACCAAAATACTTAAACTTCTGGGTGATCCTATGGCATTTTATCCCACTTGCCTCTGTACATCCGGTTGCCCTAGCAGCTGCTTTAAAACATCTATGAACACGTGATCTCAATCCTTGTAAATCATGAATTCCGCGGGGTGTACGATATTTGAAATACCATTTGGCATCACTCCACATTAATTATGATTCCATGAATTCTAAAAAATGGGTTAAAATGGATTATTACATTTTATAAATTTACAAAAAATATAATTTACCTATCATAATAATCCAATATTATTATAAGCCAAACCATAGCATCCAATGCGTTAATTCTTTCCCATGGCTTATGCATTTTAATAAACTTCCATCTAAAGGGTTTCATAAAAATAATATACACATAATTAAGTCTTCTCAAAGATAAAAAAAAATTATTTACTAATAACCTTACCTAAGATGAATCATTAAAGAAACACCTACATCATCATAAGCACCCATTTTGATCAATTCAATTTTCCCTCCATTTTCTAAAATGAAAAGTTGTAAATTAAATTAATAAATTAACTAATAAATGTATTAAATATTTAAGATATTAAACTTCAGCAGGGGTACCAAATAATTTTACTTTTCCAGAAATTTCATGTTTTTCAATATGGCATTTAACGCAATTGCAACATCAACTCCACTGATCGCAATTAGATCTAAAAAAATGAATAATTGATTAAAATATTAAAATATGAAATTATCTGTTGTACATGTAATTGAAATACGACTTACTGTATGACCGATTTCTGGAAGAGCATCATACCTATTTATAATGAGAAATTATGATTTATCTGATAAAGATAAAAAAGATTAAATCGCTAATATTTCATTCACTCATTCTTTCACCACCTTTAGATGAAAATTTTGCTACAATTGCTGTTTCAATGTTATATACATTAGGTGTTACCGTAATGGATTGATTAACATTAATATTATTAAAAAATTAAATTTTTTTTTTTTTTACCTTGAACTTTGAGATAAGCAAATGTTTCTTTGTAAGCTAAATAATACTAAATATATTATATAATTATGAAATAATTTCTTACAGAATAAATTGTATCAAAAATTATTTTGAAAATTATTTTATTTACCTAATTCCGGGTTTTCATAATCTGATTTAACATAACGTAAAATTTTTTAAAAATGATTACTAAACAAATATATTATTATTTTATAAATGTACTTAATATAGTTATTACGGTACCTGTAAACTAAATCTTCTGATTCATCATCAATTGCTTTATTGCAGTATTTTCATATTTTGTTTGCCAGGTTGATGTCAGACATAATTAATCATCATTTGATAAAAACAAGAATAAAAATTTGTCCACTAAAGGACAAAAATTCTTAAAAATATAGACCGGTCTAGAGCTTACTATATTAGGATAGTACTAAGGAACATGACAGAATTGATCTCATGTTTTAACCAGAAAAAGAATATTTTGACGATCGATTTACATGATAGCACGTTTTATGGCGTCAGTGGCCTGGAAAAAAGTTAAAGACCAGCAGTAAATTACCTTCTATATAAAGTTTTTTTTTAATAATTAACATGTTTTTTGTGTAATAAGTAAATTGATAATCGAATTGAATTGAATCTACTCTAAAAATTTCATTGCTATATTCTATAGTTTATTATAAATCGGATTTTTAATGAAAAGTATTTAGGTATAATATTAAAAAATTTTGTTTGATTATGTTTCATTTTTAAATAAAATTATTTATCAAAGTTTGTAACTTACTATCATACATACCATAAAAATATAATCGAACAAAGTTTTGTAGACGAAACATGAATAACATGATTAGTTTTCTTGTAATTTATTATTTTTATTCCCACTTAAGTATTCATTCAAAAAAAATATATTTACAAAACTTGATATTATAATAATAATATTCATTCATATTTTTTTTTTACTCTCAATAAGTTACCAAAATTTTCAAAATTTTACATTCAATCGAGATAATTCCTGTCATTGTGGCGTATGCTATTTTTAACATGTAGATCTCTTTGTTATATCTGAGCTTCTTTTTGAAAGAGAAATATGCGTTGTTGCATCATTCATCTGTCAGATGCCCATTTCTTAATGTAGATTATAAAAAAAAAGTATGTAATATGAATAATATGACATTTTTATTCGATTCTTTATCGGTTCAAAGCGAAAGGTGAAAATTAAAAGTATTTTGGACTTGGCGCAGCAGATGGTGATACCGAAATTAAATACAGTAAACCAAACATTAACACCACATTTCACTCAATTATAAGTCCACATAATACCTTGTATGTATGTTTTTAAAAAAAAGGAAAATAAAAAGGGAAGAAAAAAAAATTAATTTTTTCCATTTTTGAATTAATAAAGTAAGATTAGTTCTTTAATTACACCAAATATTAATTTATAAAAATTTATAAAAATAATGTCGACTTTATTTCTTAATTTGTTTCATTTTCATTGAAGAAATTTGATAAGATAAGAAAATATTCTTTTATCTTTCATTTTCTATTAAGCTTTATAATGTCGATGTTACCTAAAAATATAATTTAAACAAATATGGTATCTTTTTCAAAGTAAGCATATATAATAGTTATTGGGTAGAGGAGTTGAAATATCACCGAACTGCGAAGCAGTTCGGATGATATTTTAACCCCCCTACCTAATAACTGTGTTATTATGCAGACGTCCAAGATCATGTTCCATATGAAAAGCATAGTAAATGTGTGATAATAATCTATATGACGTAATGCGTCAAAAATATCAGAGATAATTTACGCAATAATAATTTATTTAAAAAATATCAGTATGTTAAAAACAACATGATCCTATTTGGCTGCATAATAATATTTTGTTATATAGCTTAATCATGTTATATAATAAAAATAAACATATACAAAAATACTGATTGAACAACCATACGTGGACGACTGATTATGAAAATGTGATATCTCATTACGCATTATTATTGTGCATATTATAACGGTAAACTTTGTTTGTTTGTTTTTTCTTTCTTTTAACTCCGTCTTAAATTATTAAAAAAAAACAAAATAGGAAGAAAGAAGTGAGACAAAAAAGAAACTTTTTCTTTTTTTTCTAAAAAAAAAAATAATAATATTTCGAAATCCAATATTTTAGAAGAGCTACGACTATAATTTGACTCTCAATGTTCCTATTAATTATATTGCTATCGGTTTATTAAAGTGTGAAAATGAATAATCAAGAAAAAATAATCAAACGCAATACCAATAAGGTAAAATTTTCTTCTACTTTAGATTCCTTTGATTTTTTAAGTTTCGGTCAGAACAGCTGTAATTCTGTAATTTGTAATGACTTACTATTTATTACCTTCAGAGTCGCCAGCAATAATTAATGATAAATTTACGAACCGTACAATACAAAAATTTATTATCAACATTATTTGCTAAAGGTGAAAACGACGCATTTATTTTTCTGTTCTATTTATCGAGAGTATTCTATATATTGTAAAACAGATAATTCCTCAGAAATATTCAAGTATCATTTCGAACATCGACTAATAATACTTTTATTTCGCAAATCATTTTTTTAGTTTTGAGAATAAATCATATAATTTGAAATTGCTTTAGGCCATTTTCTATATTAAAAAATTTTCCCGGCAGATAAATTTTGGATGTTCACTGATGGACTTTCTGTATTTTTTTTTTTTCAACCATATCAATGGTTTAACATTAATAAAAGCATTAAAAAATTATGACTGTACATTTTAGATTCTCGTAAAAATTTTAATAAAATAATGAGGATAAACAATACGTAAACTTTGGTTCTTACATTTATTTTTACCTTGCAAAAATTAATTTTTTTTTTTTTTTTAAAAAAAAAAGTAAAGAATATATAAATTTTAAAATTTAAATGAAAAAAAAAACAAAATTGTGATCAAGAGAAATTCATTTGATATATGCTAGATTTATAATATTCATTAAAAAAAAATTTTAAGAATTTTACAATCATTTTTGTATAATTATCTTTTTTTCCAAAGCAAAAGGTTATGGTTGCGACGTAAACCATTAAAAAAGCGATGGACTAGATATTTCTTATGTTCATTTACTACTGCTAAGTATAATTTACCACTGAACATCACCGATCTTCAGTTCATGCAACAAAAAAAGAATATTTAATTGAGAGATAAAAATGAAATTTCCAAAGATAATTAATTATGTGAAAGTGATGATGAGAAAGAAGATGATTCAATTCTCAATACTTGGGGAAAATTTACCTTATAAGGCAGGCCACGGTATTCCCATATATATTGTCCTCCCTCTTTTATCTGGAAACAATCTCCATTTTCTTTAATTTTACTACTTAAACATTCTAATTTTTTCCCAGGAGACACATGTAAATAATTTTTTGAATATACTACAAGTTTTCAAATCCTTTCGTTTATAATAAAAAATTCCGACAGCGTCAACCGAGATTTACCCAGCGTACCCTACAAAAATGGCACGAAAAAATCACGTGACTGTTTTTTGTCTCTTGTGTCGCTCTTCCCTGTTTCCATTTTCACCATTTTTCATAAGTATCTGGGGGGCTTAGAATTTTTTCGAGGTGTGAAATCCTATTTGTCACACATTATTTTTCACAAAGTTAATTTCTTAATTTCTTAATGCCGGCCGTTTCGTGACATTTTTGTAGGGCACGCTGGGGTTCAACCGAGTACTGCGGCGGCCTCGCGTTATACTACGGTACTCTAAATAACATGACATGCGACTGTTGATGCATAACATTAACATGTTTACCATATGAAAAACAATGTTTGTGTGAAAATAAATAATCATTGAATTACAGACTAGCCTTGGGTCTAGTGATGCCAACAGTCGGTTTCGGCTTTACAGTATATAAAACCGACGGTTAACCGGTCGGTCTTGGACTAAAACCGAACCGATAACCGAACCGGTAAAAACCGGTTATGATCGGTTATTACCGAACTTTTGGCATTCTTAACCTGGGTGAATAAAATAATTTCTAGATTCTAGTAACTCTCATGTAAGTAATGTTTAATTTCTGTAATTGCGGTAAAGATCTTTCCTTTTTAGTTTGTAGTTTCAGGTCCTGCAGCTAATAATAATAAGTGTATCACTTGTTAGTAGATCAGTATTTATAAGAAATTGAGTAACGTAATGCATTTACTACGCAAATTCTTACGGACTTCTTGCAATCGTAGACCGTAAAAGAAATACTAAAAAGAGTACTATGTGCTCATTAATTTTTGAAACAATTTGAAATATAAAAAGAATATTAGAAGTTTGTTTACATGCAGAGAAGATACGCCAAAAGTTAAATAACTTGAAAGGTAATTAAAAACAAGCCATTACTACGGAAATGCGAAACTGAAATCACATTTTTTTTTATACGATTACGAAATAATTTATAATACTTTTAAATAGACATAGTCTCACATAGATAAACAATATTAATTTTATTGAAACTATACAAAGGTCACAAAGATATTATTTGGCGTAAATGAATCATTGAAATAAATGAAAGACGAGTAAGTGTTCATTGATATCGTCTTTTCATGACGAAATATTTATATTTGATATATTAAAACGGGAAATGATTTTCAAATACCTTTTGACTGAGTTTTGAGTCTCTATTTTTGATAATTTTAGATACCTTTTTTTTTTTTTTAAAAAAAAAAAAAGGTGCATATATATTTATTACGATAAATTTCGTGTTAAAAAAAATCGGTTAAATTTTTTACTCCTTTATTAACATTTGGAGAATCTATTAGGGGAATGCGGTGAACGTCATCGTATGAAAGTATAATCCTTCTTAAATTGTGTTCACGGAATAAATGCATTTTTACCATTAAAATCATATAAATGTACGGAAATGTTATTATAGTTTACATTACCTTTTTATAGTATAAGAAATTCATTGTACGTAAATATTCATGTTAAAAAAAAGAATCAGTGTTATTTATGCTGATCATCTGGTTAAACATTTTTATTTATTTTTATTATTACGATAAGAACTGAGAAGTATTCTATATGAAGATAGACTATACTAAAAAGATAAGTTACTACCTAACAGTGAGGAGTCGAGGGCTTGACCTGTACTGTCTAATTAAAACAGTTCCGAATAAAGAATACTGTAAACCTTCAAATATTCCCGCATCTATAGTACTTTTAATATTAAACTATGGTATTGTCCTTAGTAAAAAGGGAAAGTTCAATCATGAAGACGTACGTAGTTGATTGTTAACAGATGCACTCTATGCATTTCCGTGTGTTTTAAAATTAATAGCCGTCGCTGCATAACGATTGCAACGCTAAAGCGGATGGTTGGCTGCAGCTGTAATTGTGGTCGCATGGCCCAGATGCAATAAAAAGTGCGGAAAATATTTTACAACCACGCTTTCGGAAATTGATGAATGAACAAATGTATGCGTAGTACTAATTATGTGTAGTTGGTTTTGATACTCTTTTCGGTGTGACGCATGTAAATCCTCATTGTTTGTGATCACAAAAAAAGAGGATTTGTACCAATCAATATCTTTTGGTCTTATCTTGCTATTTTGTTGTACAATGTGAAACATCCACGTATGTCGCCAGTTGAGAGCATCGTGGAGTCAGCTGAACGAAATTCTAAGGAAAGGTGATAAGGTTTGTAGGTCTACAAAGTCTAAGTTTTATTTTATTAGGCGTAACCTGCGAAGGTGGTGTGGAGGTTGAAGATAATAAATTATTATTGATAGGAAAGGAGAGCAAGTCGAAGTAAAAATTATTCCTAAAATTTTATATTATATTAAATTATTTCGAGGCGAAAAAATGAAGCCAACCTAAAAAATTTTATTTGTAATACTGAATAAAGAGTTGTTAAAAGGTCAGAGACCCTGAAAGAATATAGTTTATTAATAATAAAGAACCCTTTAAAGGACTTTTTTGGTTAAAAAGAACCATTAAAAATGGTCGTGTAAAATTTGTACCGAAAAAAGTTCTCATACGATAAATTGTATAACTTACGTGGAATTTTTAATTCGTATAGATATAAAAAAAAAAATAAACAAAAAATATGAATTTGTTTAATAAACAAAAACAAAACTCATAGTTGTGTAAAATTAAAAATTAAAAATTCAAAAAAAAAAAAATTTTTATTTGTATGTTAATTATAATCCAAATAATATCATTACCAAATAGAGGAAATTGTTGTAATAATAATAATAATAATAAGTTTATTAAAAAAAATTTACAATAAAAAATGTTTGGTTTACTTAATATAACAATGTATGTACAATTTTAGGCTAAGCCAAAATTAGAAAGTGATTGAAAGTAATATGATCTGCCGATCGACCAATAGAATTAGAAATTTTTTAAAAATTTACCTGGCTAAGATTAATAAATGAACTCAATCAATTTCGTGGGTATGCAATGTTTCTTTTACTGTCATGTTAAAATCCTATTTTTTAATACCGAAGAAAATGATTTGGCATAACTATATCTAATTGATTATTATAATGGTTTATTTATCACTTAAATATAAATTTATATTCACGAATCACAAAATAATCATTGTGGCAAAAGACAAATACAGTCACTGCCATACAGTGATTAAATATTATCTAATTTAATTAATACCTTATTAATTATTATTTATTTATTTTTATTATTATTACTACCTTTACTAAAAATAAAATGTTTACAATAAAGCAATAAAGACATTCAGGTATTGTTTCTCTCTTTTTTTTCCTAGAATGGTGGTTTTTAAAACGTTTCGCCTTATAAAACGAAATGGGTTAAATTTGTTTCATATTTGTGCTCATGTGTAATAAATGGCCATTTTGTTTGTCTTTTTTTCTTTGTAATAAGACATAAATCGGTCAAAATGGCGCTTTTTTAGACGATTTTACACAAATATAAACCCGAATTTAACACGTTTCATTTTTATAGGGTCGTTACTCTTTCGTTCAAGTCCAAATATATTTTGTACTTATCAAAGAAAAAAAGCCCAATTAAACCAAACAAATACATCATAATTTTATTTTCATGTGAATGTTAATTAAACATTTGCTGAGTATCATAAGATCTTATTTGTTTATGTAAAAAATTCACACTGCATATATATATAACCTTTGTTTAATTACTGGATACTATAAATAACATAATAAGTCTATAAAAAGATATATTGCTTAGAAGAATGAATAATCATATACCATATAATTATTGTTACATTTGTATAAACTTTAACAATAAAGGAAAGGAAACTTTTAATTGTACTAAAAGTTTACAACTTGGGCTGAAATTCAAAACATTAACGTTAGGTTTCTTATTTGTTTTGACGCCAATAAATAAATATTTCTTCAATGAAATCTAAATTATTTCGTTGTTGTAAAGTCAAAGACTCTCGTGCCTCAATTTCTTTTTGTTTAGAAATCGAACAATCAATGAACGTGAAATCAATATACACATTATCTGATAAAGATTTTTATTGTCCAGTTTATAATAGAATGTATAATCAGAAGGCAATTCATGTGATATTATCACGTTTTTTGCTCTGGATTCGTTAAGGGTTTTTTGTCAATGATGTGTTACAGAAATGTAAGCTTGAGCTATACCAAAATCAGCTAAATTCGGCGAAAACCGATGCAGTTGCATAAACAACCATTTGAATAACAAATTTTCTAATATAACAAAGGAGTTTTTTTTTTTTTATTCTTTTTAGGAAACATAAAAATGATCTTTTAGAATAGTTGATTCTCTTTGTTTATATTATTTATTATATTGTTCTTGATTGTCATTATCGGTCATATTGCTCATAAGACCGATTATTTGGTACATTCTTTTAATCGAGTATCAAATCTACCATATTATTTGATCATCATGCAGCTACTATTTGTTGATTGGTTAATTAAAATTAAATTTGAAAATTCTTCTCGAAAAAACTGATAAATACACAAAAATTTTAAGTCGGATTTTTAATTTCATTTTTTATTTTTTTTTATTCCAATATCACTCAAAATAACTTAAAAAAAAAATTTTTTAACGATAACATTAGAAATATACTCTACGAAATAAAAAAAAAAATTAATTTTTTTATGCTTTCTTTTATATATATTATCTAAGGTACCCATTCATTCCCGTAATATTTCAGAACAGCCTTCTATTACCTCCTTTTCCACGAAAGATATTTTCTTCACAAAAATTTCGCTAATAAGATTTATTGTTATTTAACATAATTCTTTATTATAACCAGCGATTACTATCCTTCTTTCAAGTAATTCTATCATTACACTTTATTCAACTTTGATACGCAAAGTTACAAATGTGTGAATTTATTCATTATTATGATAAGTTTTATCATATATCATGCAAAATTATTTCACAAGGTTCTGACTTATTTGATGACCGCAATTATGATCATGGATTTTTTTATAATATTAATCATACAGAAAATTATTATATCACATGTGAAATGCAACCACATTCTTTGATCGTAAACGAGTTGAACAAAACAAAATACGGACTAAATATTGACATAAATAATTCGGAACGAAAAGAAGGATTATCTTTATTGCAAAAACTTAATTTAGAAAAAGATTTGGAACGAGTCCTTTCTTCTTATCTTACACAATATCATGCTTCTAATAGAGAAATAAGAATGTATTCTGATCGAAACTTAAATTCTCCTTACGGACATAATACTCAAACAATTTCAATAGGAGATAGACAAACTAATTTTGATAATAGTTTCCCTAAACAAGTTGGAGTTGGATATTATACAAACAATGTTACCAGTTCACAACAAGGTAATTTCAATAGTATACCACAACAAATTCTCAAAAGACCAGGTAATAATGGAAATGCAAATTCATTTTGTGGAAATATTGGGAATAATGTTTTGATCACTAATAGCCAAGGCAATGGTTTTCATCAACCCATCAATCCCTTTTCAACATCTGCAGCGCCACTAAATAGAGTTATTCATAATGTCACTAGTAATTCACAACAACAAATTGATTTTAATAATATTTCACAACACATTACTGATAGAGAAATGGGATCGAATTATTATGGGAATTTAAATTCATTTCATGGAAGTATTGTAAATAATACACCCGTAACACAATCTGTTTTGACAACAGATATTAATCATGGTAATGATAGCCAAAATGTAAATGGAACAAGAAATTTTGCTTACGCATGTCAACAAGTTGATCTCAATATTAATTATAGATACACAGATTCGCATGGTGGAAATATCAGAAATAATATGATGACAACACAAGCTAACGGCTTGACGTACGATTACCAAGACATAAATGATATTCACCAAGTTACTCAATCACAGCAACAAGTTAACTTCAATAATAATTGTGGGAACTCGCATAATGAAAATATTGAAAACAATGTAACGACTTCGCAAGCTAATGGCTTGACATGCGATCACCAAAATATAAATGATATTCATCAAGTTAATCATATCAACAACAATTATAGAGGTACAGATTCGCATGATGAAAATATTGAAAACAATGTAACGACTTCGCAAGCTAATGGTTTGACATGCGCTCACCAAGATATAAATGATATTCATCAAGTAAATCATATCAACAACAATTATAGTAGCACAGATTCGCATAATGAAAATATTGAAAACAATGTAACGACAACACAAGCTAATGACTTGACATGTGATCGCCAAGATGTAAATGATATTAATCAAATTAGATGTCATATTTAACATTAGCAATGATCAGAATTGATGAATTTGTAAAATGACTGAAAGAACTAATCTATGTTAAAATTAAAAAATATATTATTTTAAGTTATGTTTGGAAGAAAAAAGTAATATTTATATTTATACGATAGATTATTTAAGTTTTTAAATTATTAAGTATTTAGTCAATTATGGTTCAATTAAGGATGTTTGGAAGAAAAAAAGAAACTTGTATGCGACAGATTATTTAAGTATTTAAATTATTGAGTATTACCAATTATGGTTCGATTAAGGATATGTTTAGAAGAAAAAAAGAAACATTTATACAACAAATTATTTAAGTTTTAAATTATTAATTACGGTATGGTTAAATTAAGACTTTTTATTTTTTTTCTTTAATTCTATGATTTTTAATTTATGGAAATAAACTTATTAAATTAAGTTCAAAGAATTATGAATAAAGAAACAAGATTTCATTTAAACAGCGACGTTATGATTTTTATGAAAATTATTAGTGCCGTGATATTTATTACGTAATTTTTTAGGGTCAAAATCTTACGTTTCACTTAATAAAAAAATTTTGTGATCTAATATTGTAATTGACGTTTTTTTTTTTGCACATCATCATAACAGGCTAGTTGCGAAAAAAAAATTTTCTAGATTGATACTAAACTCTCAAACCAAATAATCAAATTGAATAATACCAATTACACTATATCTTACATGAGGCAAAAAATTACTTTGATCTTCGTCTCAGTACAGCTACTGCATCCTTCCTTTTGGGTAAATTTGATATATTACATAGTCTGAGAAGCCGTATGTTGTGGGAGTAAGGCCTTGTATTAAACCGATATTATGTCACTACAGCATGTTGTATGATCTGGGAAATGCTAGCACCTTATGTTGAAAAGATAACGGAAAAAGTAATTGCGACACGAACACAGAATGTTTATATTTTTATCAGTTAAAGGAACAATTCAAAATTAATTTCAAAGATAAATAGTAGTTGTCTTATGCATACTAATATTAACAAAGATAATTCTATTTTATTAGATAGTGTATTAAAAATAATACAACGAAGGTAGTGAATAATGATGAATCTATCCAACTTACAATTGTAAATTCAATAAGTGACGATAATTACGATCAAAAAAAAAATACAAATTAATACTAGATAAAACATTGAAAATTGTAGATAAACAATTAATGAACGATCGGCACAAGCGGTTCAGACAAGTTTCAAGGATGTTAAAAATTTAGTAATTGATATTAATAATAAGTATGAAAGACAAATCAAAAAAAAAACCCACGTACTTGGATAGACCACAATATATTTTTAGAAAAATAAATTACTTATAGTTAAGATAGTTAATTAATTGAAGTGCATATCTGAATATTATGTAATCTAGCGTCTCCCGGAAAAAATGATACCCGGATTGATATATACAGGTTACACGTGACTTCGAATTACATTTCTACATTTCTTATATTTCTTAAATCTCTTTTGGTAATACGCGTTTTATATTTATTTAGGTATTATTTATTGTACTGGTTTTATTATATCTATTATGAGACACGCGTTTTAAACGATTTAAAAACAAAAAATTTTAAAAGCATGTTACGCAAAAAAGCAAATGGCGTGATGCGCCAACTCCCCCAGCTACATCATCAGAAAAAGCTCGGGTTTGGCCCGCATTACGGCGTTATGCACTAACGCGTGAAAATAAACAGTGACGAATAAGGGCGGGACGAATAATTTTTTACTTACTCGAAAAAAATTGAGTCCCTCAGATATATATAAACAGTGAGGAGGTGTGACGATGTGACGAATATTTCACGGTCACGTGCCCGAGCTTTTTGGTGGAAATGTGATGCGCCATAAAAATCACGTGGAGATAGACAATTAATTTTTAGATCGACAAAGAATTATTAAATTACTTTTATTTTAATAGAGCAATATGAAGAGACTTTGACTGGTTTTTTAAACCCTACGAAAATCGTATCTTGTTAATTCTAATGGTTTTTTCTTGTTTAGATTAATTTATTATTATTTATCTGAATGAAAAAAACTATTGGTGATTTGACCCAAAAAAAAAATATCTTATCTCTGAATTCGGTTTAGTTAAACCTATTAGTTTGCCAAATCGGGAAATTTTTACAGTTTGTAATCCAAAACTTAATTATTTGAATGAAATTGTGTACAAAAAAAAAAATAAATAAATAAATCATAAAACATAAATAAATAAATAAGGTGACACATTGCTAAAAATGGTTTGTACTACGTTATAGCATAAATGAAGCTCATTGTGATAATGTGACCTTAATTATAAATGCATTGATTACCAATATTTAAAATACCATTTTTGGAAAGATTGGGAATTTCTCAATAAATTTTGAGCAGGAATTTCTGCGGGATGATATTCTTTATATGGTGTACATGAAAAAAGAATCTTCTAATTTACCAATATACGAATTAAATCGAATTTTTATCTCGGAAATTTCCGAAGATAGGATCAATGTTCAAAATTTTATTTTTAATTTATGCAATAATTCACGCGATTTTTAGATATGATAATGCAATAGTGATTTTTTAATTCTTGTAAATAAACAGTTTGTATCCTGTTAAATTTTTTTATGCAGAAACCAATACAATATAATATCATTTATTTAAAAAGTAATTTTTTACCGCATGACAGGATGCATGATTCTCATTCTTTTTTTTTTTTTAGAGAAAGAAATAAATAAAAACTATATAAATATAATATTTAAAAAAAAAGAGAGAGGGGGAGAATTTTTTAAACTTTATATATAAAAAANTTTTTTTTTTTTTTTTTGTTTAATTTTTTGCACGCGGGAATTTGCGGTTCTTGATTTATTTACTTAAAAAAGAGAATAAGGGGGAGAGGGAGAATGTTGGACCGATCATATGATAGAAATGAACCGATTGTGTTTATGGATTAAATCACGATTCTATACCACTAGTACCATTTTCGGTATCATGATAACGCAATCGCAGATTATTATTATTATTTTAAATTATTATTTTATTTTATTTTATTTTATTTTTAAAAAAAAGAAAAAAGTAAGAAAGAAAAAAGGAAGGAAGGAAGAAAGAAATGGTAACCATGGAAAGTAAACACAATTTAAGCATGATATATATAAAAAAAAGTAATATCCTGCGCACACTTCCCACAGTGCAACCAACTAAATTACAATATTAGGGTATCCGGACTTTTCGCCAAAGTTCATTTCACTGAAATGGTGAAACCTATTTCGCCAAAGCCATTTCTCCGAAGCCGAAGGGGTATTTCGCCGAAAGGACGCCTCGCTGAAATACCATCTCACCGAAGCCCTATTTTACCGAATTCCATTTCATCGAAGCCATTTTATTAAATGGACATTTCGCCGAATGGACATTTTGCCGAATGGAATTTTGCTTTATTTTTTATCGGTTTTATACTAAATACGTAAAGAAATCTTTTCTAGAAAAATTTTTGAATTAGCTGATTTTTATTAAGTTTATCTCGTTGTTTATAATACATTAATCTTTTTTTACGAATAAATGTTTTCAGGAAAATAAAGTTATTCATTTATTGTTAACAATTAATAACAGTTACTTGAATATTAAAGTGATAATATGCTGAAAAAAAAAACGTCTCTAAAAATAATTTAAATTTTTCATTTTCGTGATGAATATTTTTTATAAAAATGTTAATCGCTACCTTTTCAGTACATTTGGCAAAATGGAATTCGGCGAAATGGACGATTCTGTGAAATGGATTCGATAAAATGCACTTTCGGCGAAATGTCCCCTCGGTGAAACGTCCCTTCAGCTCGGCGAAATGTACCGGTTATATCACGTGACTTTTATTAAGTGTAACGTGATTTTTCAAACCTTCCCCTAAAATATTACGTTGATAAATGTCATGGCTCTAAACCGTACAACAAACTTGTTTTGATTCCTTCGTGTTTGTAAAATTCAATCAATATTATTAATACTATTAAAATAAAGAAACATTATCAAATGAGTTTATATTGTTACAAATCACGTGTTAATCGCGTAATTGGATTTTTTTAAATCATTTTTTCTCAGGGAAAAAGGAACCTCACCCTATTCTTTATAAGTTGTAACTAGTAAACATACGAATATTGATTTATATTAATTCATAGAAAACTTATCCTATTCGTCCATAACCCAAGCGTATAAAAAGTTAATGAGAAAACATTACAAAATAAACGAGAGATAGCTTGTATCTGGAACAAATAGTCAGGACGGCCTAACTATTTTCATTAAATTAAGATATACAAAAAAAAACGAAAATAAATAAAACTGGGTGAATTATAAAAATTGTTCTTGGTTCAAATTTTAATACGCGTTATATAATTATCGATGTATAGTAATTTTTTATTTTATTGATTGCAATGAGTTTACACAAAAATTATTGTAAACGACCCTTAAATTAATTTCGAAGTTATGATTTTCTGCGCCACAATGAGGCGTGCCGTCATGCGTGATCGTGTGAAGAAGCAAAAAAGTTGCGATCCAGCTGCGCCACGCGTGATTAAATCTGCTTCGGCCCTATAAGAAATATGTATACGGAAAGGATACGTTTTGTATACATTTTTTGTACATTTCTATAGATTCCGTATACAAATTCCGTATATTTAATAAGCAATTCATTTTTGAACATTTTTTAAAAAAACTAATGTATAAGAATTATTTCTGTCTCTTATACACATCTAGATGTGTATAAGAGACAGATATAAATCTCCATGACCAAATCCTTGATTTCTTTTAGTATTGCTATCAGAAATCGCGTAGTATTTATTTTTAATTCTGCTAATTATAATTGATGATAAGTCTAAAATATTTAAATAAAATGAAAAAATAAAACTTTTATCTGTATCAATCCAACCAGCTGATGCACTCCATTTTATTGGATTATATCCTCCAAGAATTTTGTTTGAATTTTTTAATTTCATTATAACAATTGTAGCTCCTTTGTTATTGCATTTATATTGAAAATTTTCAAGCTCAAATCCATCTCTACTTCCATGTAAAAGTAAATTAAAATTATATCGATTATTATTAAGTGGATTGGGCAATACTTCTTGCCCATCATCAATCCAATATGAAATAAGATTAAAATATTTTCTTGTAATAATAGATGAACCAAATATTTTATCATTTTGAGATTTTCTAGGCGGAAGAACCGTTGTAACCAATCTACAGTCCGGAACAATAAAATATGAAAGGAGGTCTTCTTCAATTTCTTTAGGAAGTAATTTACCTAGAGGACGGACTTTATAATAATATTCTTGAGATGTCATTTGAAAAAATCGAATATGTTGAATAAATGGTGAAATAGCTTCCTTCAAAATCTCATATTCATTAATACTCCAAGTTGTCTTATCTGAATTAAGATTAGGATTCTTTGCAATACCCCATTTTATTAAATTCTCCCAAATTATGATTTCTTTCATTTCTAAATTATCAAGTTGGATGATTGAAAGTAAAACTTCACTATCTAACCCCAAAAATTCATTAGAATCAATAAATAATTTTGGGTCTTGAATCATAATATTATTACACAATTCTTCAAGCTTAGGGAAAACTCCTTTTCGGTGGGAAATAGTATTAAAGAGTTTAACAGCATTTTGTATAATCCAATCATCATTTAAACGACTTAAATCAATAATATGTTGTTGAAGATGCTCAGTAAGTTCATAAAGATTCATCTCATCTGCTGCAAGAAGTAATTCAATTAAGTTATTTTTTACATTAACTGTATCTATCGCAATGGTTCCAGTATAAATATATCTAAAATTTAAAAAAATTTATTAATGAAAATTAAATTAAATTTATCCATTAAAATTAATTTTAACTTACTTTAATATGATTTGAAATACAATTGGAGTTACATTTGGTTTTTCAAATATATAAAAATCTCCTTCTTTTTTAGCCCAATTTGAAGAAAATGCAGAACGAAAATAGTTTGACCTAGCACGCAAAATAACTGAATGAGCTTTAAAAATTTCCTCTCCTTCGACTTTTATTTTTACATTATAATCATCAGCTTTATCATAAAGATTTCTAATATCTCTTAAAAGTGTGTCAGACAAAATTTGGCAAGACATTTTTTTTTAAAAAAATAAGAGAAGGAATTTTTATTTTTTAACAATTATTTCCCTTTTTAAAGGCAATTTGTCGATCACTGTTTATTTGTTCCCTCACATGACCATTCTTCGATTGTATGACAAAAAGATTGGCCATCGGTAGTGTTAATCGAATAATCACATGACCGGCGATCATGTTACGAATGTTACGAATGTTACGAATGTTGCAAATGTTACGAATGTTTAATATGTTTAACATGTTAAACATATGCAACATATTAAATATATAACACATATTTAACATATTACATTTGTTAAATATATAGCATTTATTTAATATTCTTAACATGATTAGCATAGAATTTATTGTTATAAATACATGCGTTCTAAATCAATGTAATAATAGATAATTCTGTTATATTTTAATAAAAGCATTTATTAAATAAATTATCTCATTTTTATTTTTATAGTTTGTTATATTTGTGAGTCAAATATTGCGTCTGAGTGTATATGCCTGTGTGTGCAATACCGTATTCGCATTTGACTGAAATTTCATTTTATTTTATTGTGTAACCTTCGTAAATCGATCGACAGTGATACATTTACTAATAATTTCATATAGTTTATTTCACTTTGCGTTCATTAACATTATTTAATATTTATTTTATTCATAATCCTTCTGCTTACCATACACCCATACGCTTATTTTTATAAGCATACAAGAACTGGCATAACAAATTGGTGCCTTCTGCCAGAATCCCGATTTCCCATTATTTTAGTCCCCTTTTATGTTCTAAAACCATTTCAATCGCAATGATATACACGACGCTATACATAGACAATTAGGGCTAAATAACATAACCACTTATCATCGTGATCTATCGTGTAATAATTGTTACCCATCTGAGATCCCCTTAACCCCACTTTTCAACACTTTTTGGATTGGATTTCTTCTAATTATCCAGTTATAGAATATACCCGATACACTCAACAATACTTTGAAGAGGTTGCTTATTCAATCACTAACGCGGATATTGACAACGCCATACATAACCTATTGTTCAGTATCCGATACACTGACATAGAACCAATAGATTATACTCTTTTGCGTCAGGACCTTATTAACGCCTATAATCTAACTAACGGTTTTCAGCAAGATCCTAACGAAGTTCTCTATCAAGTCAGTGAGACTACCACCTCACCAGAACCTGAAGTTTTAAGTGATACCACATCAGAGAATTCCGAGGAAGAAATTCCCCATTTACATATTCCTTTACCACCTATATACAACACACCGAATAACCCAGCTCCAGTAATCCCACCGGTAATTAATATGGCTCAACCTAACCAGCAGGACTTTCAGCAATTACGAGCGGCAATTGCAGCACTAACCCAGGTATTGCCTAATACCAACAATGCTTTGGTCGGGAATACACAGGCCATTGCCAACCCTCCATGACGAGAAGGAAAGGTGGCCGAATTGCCATCATTTTATGGAGGCAATCAGGACCCGGTCGCATGGCTGGATGATTTTACTAGAGCTTGCAATGCTAATGGTATAGCAAACGGCCGTAAATTGGAAGTGGTACCGGCCTATCTTAAGGGTGCTGCTTCTACATGGTGGAATGCCAATCAGGCGCTACCAAATAATAACCCTAACAAGATCACTATATGGACTGGCAATAATAACAATACCGATTTTATTCAGAATTTCCCAGCGGCTTTTAGGACTCAGACTCTAGTCGAAATCTGGACTACAGAACTAGAGCAAAGACGACAACAACCTGGCGAGGATGTAAATACCTACGCCGCCGCCTTACAAGAATTATACCGAAGGGTAGAGACGAATGCTTTCGCCTATCCCGAAGCAATCAAGGCTCGGAAATTTGTAAATGGTCTATTGCCTGACCTATATGTCACCGTTAAGCCTCACAATGATCAAACGTGGAATGGCGCGGTGGATAGAGCTAAAGCGTATTAGTTAATGCATAGGGATCAGGGCGCTGTCAGCGCATACCTCAATAAATTTACGCCGATGACAACTACAGACCATACCGGCGATTTACTTAAGGCCATCCAGGATTTATCTAAACAAGTGCAGTCGATAGGTAATGGATATAGAGGCTATCGGAATAATAATAGTTTCCGAAATGCCAACCAGCAGCAGACGGTCCAAACAACGCAAGGTAGACCGAATCAGGTCGTATGTTATTCATGTGGAGAGCCGGGACATATATCTAGGACTTGTCCGAATAGAAATAATGTTGCTGGACGTCCCAATAATATTCCGAGGAATAATAATATCCCGCAACCAACAAATACAAATGACCAACTTGCGCAGATACAACAATTGCTGGCCCAATTGGTACCGCAAGAAAGTACCGAAGACCAGCATTTAAACTAGGAGGCGTACCTCAGGAGGGTGAGCGTACACGCCAGACAACAATTCCCTCGAATTTGACGTTATTGGAAACATATCCCTCTACGAGAACTACCCGAAGCAAATCTAGACTTGATCCGACTACTGGAACCGTAAAGGATAAACCTCCGGAAGAAGAGACAATAATACGAACCATACAAAGCTCTGGTAAATCTAAACAACCAATAAGGTCGACTGGAGTAAAGAAAGTTGAACCTAAGAAGGTGGTTAAGAATAAGTCTGCCGCTGTAGCCCCAATTTACAAAATGGTAGAACCATATACGCCGCAGCAGTTCTTTGATCAAAAGGCCGATATTACGAATGGCCAGTTGCTGGCAATGAACCCAAAGTTCGGCTTAACAGTGGCCAAACAGCTAAGAAAACCGGTTGTTAGGACAAAAACTGAAGAACAAGATAAAAAACTGGTTAAGAAAGATGATGAAATTCCGAATAATGGAAATGTTTCCGAAGTTGAAGATCTCATGCAGGTGGCTAATACCGCCGGACCGAATGATGATCGAACTTCGGCATTATATTGTGAAGCCTCGATTAAACACATAAGATTCCCGCTGATCGTTGATTCTGGATCGGCTGGAAGTATTATTTCCTTATCATTATTGAAAGATTTAGATATGGAAATAACGAAAGCCTCAAAAACTATTATGGTGAATGTAAATGGAGAGCGTCGACGACCATTGGGCGCTGTAACTGACATACCGTTGAAGATACATGAATGCATCATTCCGATGGATGCCATTGTCACCGATGCTAATTCATATTCTGCTATAGTCGGAAATGATTGGCTGCGTAAGACCAAGGCCGTTCTGGACTATAACAACAATCGGATGACCATCAAGTGGAAAGATCAGGTTTTAGAAGTGACCACCGAATGTAGAGAAATGCCCCACCACATAACCAGCATCGAGATACCGAATATAGAAGCCGAAGAAGAGGTTGAGGATGAATCCGAAAAGGAAGTTGATGAAGAAGCCGTAGAAGAATCGGAAGAAGAATATGAAAGTGACTACGAGGAGACACAAGAGCAGCTATTCTGTAACGCCGGATATATTACTCAGGAAAAGGTGCAAGAAATCTAAGAAGAATTAAAAGAAGGAAATTTCGTCAGTAATGAATATTACTACCAGTATGAAGAAATTGAAAAAGGAAAATTTCATACCGGAAAATTGGACGAAGAACAACATCGGAAATTCGATGATTTTATGGAACGATATCAGTATCTGTTTGCCTGGGATCCTAACGACTTCGGAAGAACATCGGTAGTTACACATAAAATCGATACCGGAGAAGCTACCCCGGTTGGACAAAGATTCTACCGAACATCTTATCAAAACCAGCTGTTCATAAAAGAAGAAATACAACGATTGTTGAACGCCGGTTTAATAACTCCATCAAAAAGTCAATGGACTTCACCAGTTGTAGTGGTGGAAAAGAAAAACGGCAAGAAACGTCTTTGTGTGGATTATCGGAAGTTAAATCAAGTAACGAAACGAGACCGATATCCCTTGCCGAGAATCGATGACATGCTGGAAACGTTATCCGGATGTCAATGGTTTTCCTCCCTTGATCTTGCCAGCGGGTTTTGGCAGGTCGAACTTAGTCTGAAAGACAGGGAAAAATCGACGTTTATCACCCGTTTCGGAACCTACGAGTTTACGGTTATGCCATTCGGCCTATGTAATGCTCCCGCCACCTTCCAGCGCTTGATGGATACAGTATTATGGGACATATTGTGGCAATATGTTGTGGTGTACATAGACGATATTAACGTGGGCTCCAAGACGTTCGAAGAACACCTACAACATTTGGAACAGGTTTTTCTTCGATTAAAATTAGCCGGACTGAAGCTGAGTCCGGAAAAATGTTTCTTTTTCAAGGATGAAATCCCGTTTCTAGGACACGTTGTAAGCCGGAAGGGCATACAAACCGACCCTGAAAAATTAAAAACCATTAGGGAATTTCCCATACCAAGAGATTTGACGCAGTTGCGAGGATTTATCGCTCTAGCGTCTTATTATCGTAAATTTGTCAAAGGGTTTTCATCGATAGCCGAACCCTTGAATAGACTTTTAAAGAAAAACACCCCGTATATATGGAGTGACGAACAACATGATGCTTTTGAGAAGCTTAAAACATGTTTGATGACGCCTCCTATATTGGCTTACCCAAATTTCGAGAAGCCATTTATTCTTTATACAGACGCATCTACCTTCGCTTTAGGTGCAATTCTATCCCAGAAAGATGAAGACAAACGCGAACGCGTTATAGCATACGCAAGTCGCACTTTAAACAAGCACGAACGAAACTATAGTATAACAGAACTCGAGTGTCTTGCGGTAATTTGGTCAGCGAGACACTTTCACCAATATCTGCATGGTCAGAAATTTACGGTGATTACGGACCACGCTGCGTTACGATATTTAATGAATTTATCGAATCCTGTTGGCAAACTCGGACATTGGTTAATGACTTTGAACGGCTATGAACTTGAGATTATAAACCGCCCCGGAAAACTTCACTCCAACGTCGATACATTAAGCCGAATAAGAACTTAACGCATCTTCGTTGAAAAACTCTATTAACCACCCGATTTGCATATATACGACGCCGATTTATTGAATTACCCATATTTTTGACTCAACATGGATTTAAACACCTACTTCTCACTCATACACTTTTTGACGACACACTCAATGCCAACACACCTCGATACGCAGCAACGTGCTTCTATTAAACGAAAATCGAGATATTTTATTATCTTGAATGATCAACTTTATAAAAAGAATAAAGTTAACCCCAATAGACCGATACGAGTTGCAAAAGAAAATGAAATAGAGGATATTCTATATCATATGCACTCGGATCCATTAGCAGGCCACTTTTCGATAGATGAAATGTATCGAAGGATAAAAATTCGATACTACTGGCCGCAAATGTTCAATGACGTTCGCCGATATGTGCGAACCTGTGATGAATGCCAACGAAGGGGCAAAAATCGCCGTAATGAACCTCTCCATCCGATAAAGGTCGGACAACCATTCGATAGACTAGGAATGGATATTGTCGGACCGTTGCCTAAGACGAAAAACGGCAACATGTATATTGTCGTTGCAACCGAATACCTGACCAAATGGCCGGAAGCCCGTGCAATTCCCAACGCTAAGGCATCGTCAGTTGTCTCGTTTTTCTACGAAGATATTATATGCCGCCACGGGTGCCCAAAAGAGCTATTAACTGACCGTGGGACGCATTTTGTAAACGAAATGCTAAACTCCTTATGCGAAAACCTTGGAGTTAAGCATAAATTGTCTACGGCGTATCACCCGCAGACTAACGGGTTGGTAGAGCGCTTCAACCGAACGTTATGTGAAGCCCTTGCCAAATACGCCAATACAAATAAAGACGATTGGGATTTGTACCTATCATCTGTTTTATTTGCATACAGGACGAAAAGCCATAGCACCACATGGCATGAACCTTTCTACTTGATGTATGGCCGTGATGCTGTGCTTCCAATAGAATTCGCTGTTTCCACTGTGCAAAGTAAATGCGCTGGGGAAAATTTCCAGGATGATCTCTTTAATCTAATTCACACCCTTACTGGAAAGGTGATAGTTGATCGCCTTGAAACACAAGATAATATATGCAAGGCGCAACAAAGGCAGAAAGAGCAACATGATGCAGGTCTTTCCGAAGTGCATTTTAAAATCGGATACCTTGTGTTGCTATACCAAAGTCAACTAAGAGGCAAGCAAAAATTCCAAGAAAGATGGAAAGGCCCCTATTATGTGCATGAAATATTAGGAAATGGCGCATATAAGTTGCGCACAATTGAAGGAAAGGTTTTAAAAGTTCCGGTGAATTCGGAACGGTTGAAATTGTATCACCAACGCATATAGAC